TTTGTATTGCTTAAGTAACTCACAAATGAAAATGTGAAATATCTCAGTTCCCTCTGGGCCATACACAGGAGCAAAGGAGCAGCCCTGCCTCTAACCCAGGCCAGCTGGACCCAGCATCACCCTTAGAAGAGAAGACAGGATGCCTCCCAGGTGGTCTCAGGAAGTGTCTCTGCCATGGTCTCCTGGCAGTTCTGTTTGGAGGCTGAGGATTTGCATCCCTCATGGATCCTGTTCTCCTTTTCCTGAGCCATGCAGGGGTGGTGCTTGTCTGCTCCCCATGGGTCAGAGCTGCAGCCTGCTGGTGCCAACAGGGGCTCTGAGGGGCTGCTGGAGCACCTTGGGGTTCACAAACTCTGCACAGTTGTTTTTGTAGAGTGCCTTTCCCTCCCTCCTGTGAGGCTAGGGCAGGCCAATCAAATTATGGCTGTTTCTCTGCCCTCCTTTTGTGCCTCAGTTTCCCTTCCTGCAAGGATAGAGCCCAGCTCTGGCAGTTGCAGCTTTGGGGCTGCTCTCAGACTTGGCAGCTCTGGGTACCTCTGCAGCACCCCCTGGGGCAGAGGCAAGAGGCTGGAGAGGCTCCTGCTCCTGGCCAAGCACGACTCATGGCATTTGGCATTCCAGTGTTTTTGGTAGCTCAGGAGCAGCCCTAGCTTAACAGCAGGAAATAAGAATACAACTAGCCTGTCAGTGTGTTTGCAGCCAAGCAAAGTGCATGATCCTCTCTGGCAGGGCTGGCCCCACAGCCATGGCCCCAGGACAGGGAAGCATTATTTCATGGCTCTTTGTTTTGTTTTCCTTTGGCAAGATTTTAGGATGCCTTTTCTACACCCTCCAAGAGAGATGTGGGTACTCATTGCAGGGTTACCTGTGTGAGAGGCACAAGTAAACTGACTTCAGTGGGGTCACTGCAATTCTGCAGCAGTGGGAAGGGAGCCAAAATCAGCCAAAAGGCCATGGGTGCTGCTCAGCTCTGACATAAATAACTGGGAGACTGCAAGCACTGAAGTGTATGTGGCTGCCTTGCTACAAATAGCTGGACTCTGACACATCCAGGGATGTGAGCAAATTTTCATTTTTTACTTTTCTCTTAGGTTGCTCTGTGTGTCTGCCTCCATCACAGGGTCATTTCAAGCAGCAGGACTGAGTTTAATTGTGTACAAACACCTGTACTTTTTCCATCAAGAAGCACACAAAAACCAATTCCCATAGAGGCAGGTAGGTACATGCACAAAATACATCACAGCCAAGCAGTCAAAGACTTGCTGGGTGCTGCCTCCCGCTCTCTGCTGGCATGTGAGCTCCTGGCACTTGTCATGTCCCCATCAGACCCAAGTAAGCTGCCTCTGACCATTCTGATTCACAGGGTGCTTTCTTTGTTGGCCTTTGGGGTTAAACAAGTACAGCAATTGTCTGTTTTGTGTGGGGAATGGTTGTTAGGGCAACTGGGAGGAATTCCTTGGCACCAACACGAGCTGAAAAAGAATGAGCAGAAAAATGCTCAGCCAGAGTCAGTGCCAGAGCAGAGGCAGGGCAAGGGCCGGTGCCTCACCCTGACTCTCCCACCTGCAGCAGAGTGTCTTGGGCAGGGAAGCTGCTGGGAAAAGCCAGATCCACACCCTTCACTAACCTCTGTGCAGAGAGCCCACAGCACAGGCACCCCTGACACTGAGGTGCTGAGGAGAATCTACCCCTGAGTTTTTACCCTTTTGTTCCTTCTGTAACTGAACATGCCCCACAACATCCAATATGAAATTTCTCTTAAATTTCTCAAAGAAATTTTTCGAAGAAATTTCTCTTGGCTCATAGCAGCTTGCAGTACAACTTCAAAAATGAAATTGTGATAATGATTTTCAAATTGAAATAAACCAATTTTGGGGTCATTTTCACTGTGAAGCTTGGTTCAAAGGCACTGGAAGAAATGGCAGGGTGAGTAGTGAGCTGACAAGTAGTACAATTTTGGCAGGGCTTTAGAAACTTTATTTTTACATTAGAGATGCTCTCCTTGCTCTAAACTGCTGCCTTCCCCATCTGACCCTTTTCCCCACCTAGCTGCCACCTCATTCATAAAAAGATAATAACTTTGTTTGGATAGGCTTGCTGGCAAATTTACACAGCTCTCCATTTAGAGATCTGATTTCAGGTGAGGTTATTAAGGGTGATAAACAGGAAGAAAAGGAAGAAACAGAGGCAGGGGGGTGGTAGGGGTAGGGAAATGGAGCAGCAGAAGGTAGTGCCTGCTCTCTGCTCTTGTTTACACAAGGGCTTGAAACCTGCAGGATGGAACTGCCACGGTTTCACAGTGAGTGTGAGCCTATCTGCAGGCACGGCAGCTGCTGCAGCAAGGGGGTGGGCTGTGGAAGGGAGGGCCAGGTGCTGTTAGTAATGGGCGTCAAGCTAAAAGACTTGTGTAAGGGTAGTGTTCAGATCTGGAAAGCACACGGCTATGTGAGTCTGGTCATTTCTTTTATACATGAACAAAACCAATTCTGACGTTTGAATTTCTGAACTGGGTTCTCATCAGAGCTCCAGTTCTACAGGGTTCTGCTTACAGACTGGGTTGGAGGAAGGTATCCATTTTGTAGCCTAGCAGCAGAATACCCCTCTCCTGCTTGGCTGTCTCCCTTTCCCTCAATGATATTCCACTTGATTTCCAAGTTCCTGGCTGAAAAAATCAAACAAATGCATACTTTGGGATGAAATTCCCAATGGACTGTGCTATGCTGTTTTGTTAGTCTTGATATGATTTTATTAGAAGGAAATTGCTGAGCATTTGAGAACCTGGTTTCCACAGGCTTTCATGTTCCAAAGAAGTCAGCTCTTGGCCTGAAACTTTCCAGGCATAGTGCCAGACTTCACAAGCTCATAGATGGAAAAGGGGGCTGCCTCTATACCCTAGAAGACTTTAGTCATCTAAATTAGAGCATCCTTTATGCTGCTGTCATTCAGCCTACAACAAACCTGCCTGAGATTAATGGGTAGCAAAAGCTTCTTGACGTGATGTCACTCGTGCATCTTCCCAAGGCTATTGGTATCTTTTTGTTCAAAATCCTGACTGTGATTTCTGTTCCCTTTGGGCTGGCTGAGTACATATCAGGGCAGCTCCAATGTCAGTGATTCAAGCTTGGGAAGTCCTGGGGCAGAGTCAAGAAAAGCTAAGTGTACTGGTCCCTGCTGCGTTTTGTCTAGCTGAAAAATTGGTTAGGACTAAATGGCTTAAAAATGCAAACCCACAGCTGATTATGGTGTAAGATGCTGCTCTGCTGGAGGTTGCTGCCCACTCTTGCTGGCCGTGGGTGTGTCAGCAGGTGCAGGACTCTGGAAGCCTGGAGGAGGCCGGAGGGTGAGGCCTGAGGGAGTCCCTGCACTGACACACTGTGGGTGTCTGCAGCCATGGTGTGACTGACCCACTGCCCAGGCACTCCTCCTGCAGACAGATCAGAGATGGGCTGCATTTTCTGGGGTACCACAGTGCCCTGCAGTGTAAACACACACAATGACTGTCTGAGACAAATTCTAACCACCTTAATACTCTGTTGAGCAGAGTTTCTGGACAGTCTGGTTTGTGCATGTGGGGTTCACTTCCCAAAACAGAGTAGTACCTGAAATGCAGGTGTGGCCCCTGGGCTGGGGGACAGTGCCAGGATGAGAAAGCTGAGCTTGGGAGTGCCCATGCATCATCTTCTGCCCCTTTTTTAAAGAGCTGCATGTTCCTGAGGGCAATCACTGAGCTATGTGTGAGGCCGTGCCTTGCATTGCTTGCTGGTGCTGTAACAGCTGTTGTGTCTCTGGTACACAGCAGTAAAATCCATGAACCTCAGATAAGCTCTCTCACACAGCACAAGCGCTAAGGGGGGAACAAGAACTGCAATGAAGACAAATCTATTCATGTTTACAGCTGCTCAGGATAACTATATTTGCACAAGCAAAAAGGATACGGGTCTGCCCTCTGCTCCACTAGCCTGCGAGTGCTGACTGCTCTGATCTATATTAAGTCTGTGCAGTCTTGCTCTGGGTCTTGCAGCACATTTCAGGTTCTCCAGACCTTTCCTAGCCTGTCCATATTGAGTAAAATGTGGCCAGTGTTTCTATGCATTAAAATCCCCTGGTTTGTCCCTTCACAGCCTTTTTAGTTTATGATGGCCAGAATGACCCCTCAGACTTTTTCCCATTTGCTGTCTGGTTTGGTCTCTGCTGCCCTCTGTGCCCTATGGCTGCTTGCTGTAACTCTGTGATTTTCTGCCTAGAAGGGCTTCTTTGTCCTTGGAGTCCTCAAGAAAGCTGATCTCCATGGCAAGCTGACCAATTCTATCCCAACAGAGGGAAATGTGTGTGTAGGCAGCAGATACTGGCATCCAGAAGAAGCAGATGCACCCTGTGAGCAAAGGCACTTTGCCACCCCAGGAGCAGGAGGGCTGAAGGACCACTCATGAGCTCTCCTTGCTCTGTGCTGTGATCAACCTGCCTCTCACATGTGAGTGGGAGCAAAGCCAGTGCAGACCCAGCAGCATGTTTGTTATACCAAGGGCAATGCCATTCCTCCTTCCCAACATGCCCTCACCATATGATGGATGTGTTGGAGGCTGGCCCAGATCATTCTCTTGGGAATAGCCAGGGCAACTTCCCAGGCCATCAGGGGCCTTGCTGAGTTAAGTGAAATAGCAGTGTGTGGGAGGGAAATAAGAGAGGCCCATAGTTTGGTGTTTACCCAGCATCCCACGTGAGCCTGTAAATGTGGAGGGCACAAAGCTCCTATATAACAAGTGTTAACATACAGCTGGTGGGAATGCTTCCAGCAGGGCAGCTTTCCACTGCAAATAAATAAATAAATGCTGGCATGGGGAGATTCTGACAACAGTCTAGACAGGAAAATATTGCTACAACCATAAGGTATTTCAGATGACTTCATAGAAACATTTCACCAAATATAAGTATGAGAAGCTGTTCAACTCAGTTCTTTTTCTTTTGAAAAAAGAGAAGTTTTGCACTCAGCTCCTAAACATTAACGTGTCACAGCAGCTACTGCAAGCCTTATGACACTTAGCTGGGGTAATCATTACTCAAACTTGTTAGCCTTAGACGTGTTGGTCCCACATTACCCTAGAGAATGTTTGTGACTCATGCTGTGGAAGTCTAGGTGTGGGATTTGGGACCTCCTAAGTGTCTGTACAATCTGATGCTTTATGGAGCTCCGCTGTAAGGTGTAGGACATGGATGATGTGGAGTTTGGCTGGGTATGTGGTTTGTTTGGTTTGGAAATTTTTTGGTTATTTGGCTTTGAGTTTTTTAAAATAAGATTTTGAAGGGAGGTAGAGGAAGGTATGCTATGTTTCTAGAGTCCTGTTTGGCAGTGTTCCACATTAGCAGAGATACAAAGAGTCTGTAATAGTGAATGGCTTGTTCAGTTATAGCTGAATTCATCTAGTCTCTTTCACGCTGAGAAATTACCTGGTTGTAATTTGTATGTTGTATCTGTGCCAGAGGCCAAAATGTTAGCAGGGAAGGACGTGTATTGGGAGAAGCAGTGGAAAAATTACAATGAGTCAACAAGGTTGAATTTAGGACTCCTCACAAGGGAAGCCTCGTTTATTAAGCAACTTGAACTCTCCCTGTGAGCTCATACGTGGAAAACAGGTTGAGCCATGTGGGAGGGTGTTGCCCAGTGGAATTTGTAGATAAGGATGCTTTATACCTGCGTGTGCCCGAGAGGCCAGTTACATTCTGCGGCTTCCAGAGGGAACGAGCCTCCAGAGGAGTACAGTTATTCCATTTTTCTTGTGGTGAGTTTATTGAAAAGAGCTTTTGTTTCTTCCTCTCCTCCCTATGCCTCCCTTCAAATCTCAGATTCCCAAACTCTGAGGTGTGATATGTGTGGTTTTCTTCACCAACAGAGCCAGGTAACACTACTGAGACCGCAATGGCATGGTGGAAGGCCTGGGTAAGTAGAGGATATACTGATACTCTGAGGGTTCTTGGCACTGTAATAAGGTAACTTATAAGTTGTATCAGGCACTGTGTGGGAATGAACAGTTTCCTTTAAAAATCAGCAAGACCTTTTTACTGTTTTCTGGCTGTAAAATAGCATTCAGCACTTCAAAAACATTGATGAAGGAGGGTGTTGATATGACTGCTGGCTGTAGGAGAAGGAGCAGATCCTATCTGTACCCTTAGCTGAGAGAGGTGCAGGGGGTGTCTGTGTCCCTGTGTTCATGGGGAGATGGTACCATGCAACAGCAAAGTTACTCAGCCGAAGCTGTGGGCTCCTGCCTGCTCCCTTGTCCTGTGGCAGTGAGTTCAGGGTGCTGGCCTGTCCCCATTTTTGGTCCCCTGTTGTGCTGGCAGGCTGTGGTCACAGAGGAAGATATGGTCAAGCCACAATGTCTATCTTGGGTGGGTTTTTAATATTGCAATAATAATGTGTCTTGAACAGCCTGTCTCTTTGCCAGGAGCCAGAAATGCTGTGTATGTTCTCTTGTAAATGCTTGTGGCTCTGAGAGTAATGTGGCAGGATGGGGAGAAGCTCATGGGCTGTGCTGAGGCAGCACCTGGGGTCTGGCTCAGACCAGGCAGCAGGTAGCCCTGGTGATGTGCCAGCTCCATCAGCCTCTGTGGGAGGCCAGGTTTACTCCCAGGTCTCAAAATATTTTTTTCCCCAGAAAGATTCAAATTGTAATCTTCCTTCTCAGTTTTCTTGGTCTCCCTATTTCCTTTGGAAGTTTGGTATAATAATATAGATGTTTTTCCTGAGCTTGGAATACCTCTCACTTATTTTTTTTTCCTTTTGGATTACCTATTCTCTCTACCTCCAAGCTGGAAATAATTTGTAAATTAGAGCAAGAAAAGAAGGAAAAAAACCCTTAAACTCCAATGATCCAGTACCAGTTGGTGTTGTAGAGGGTGGAAGCATGAGAAGAAAATGAGAGGTCCAAAGAAGGATGGGGAAAAACTTTGGTTTTCTAAACCCTTCATTTAAAAATACAGTTCAAAAGCAAAAGGAATGAAAAAAATGTGAAACTTTCACAGAAAATATTGACTGAACAAAATGCAAACAGTAACCCAACCTGTCCCCAGATTCCAGCTTTTTTAAAAAAGTCTATCCTTTAGGTTTGAAAATATTTTGGTAGTAAAACTTTTATTCCTTTTTCCTTTTATTTATAGGTAAAATTTTTCACAGCATCAGCTGTAAGGTACACTGCTTCTGCTGCTTTCATGCCAATTATTTATATTTACATGAGCACAAATGCCTTGAGTAGTTTCACTTAGGGAGTTGTAGGATTAATTCAGCTGGGAAACAAGACCAAAGGGAACAGGGATTCTCTGAAAAGCTGGTGCAATTGTACTTGCGCTGCAACAGCTATGTGCGCAGAGAATGAGGTGCAGGAGTGAGTCACAAATGTGCTACTCAGCCAGGAAGGGCCGTAACTGTTTATCGGAATTCGTACCAAAAAAGATCATTGTTTAATTTGTTTCCACTGCCTCCAAATGAAAGCTCAGCTTTGTCCTCCCTCCTTCACTGAGTCACCAGGCATGGGTCCAGAATGTTTGGGGGTTTCTTCACAGGGCCCTTGCATGCAGCTGGAGAGGACTGGCCATCTTTTTCAAAGCAGACTCAGATGGATGAGTCTAACCCGCTACCCAGGGAAGCTGTGGTGGTGCTGGCCACCTTGGCAGAGGGCTAGAAAAGGAGCACTTGAAAAGCAGCTCAAATTCTTCTAAGCCAATGACAAACTGTAGGAGGTGGCAGTGCCCCCTGCTCTGTCACTGCTGTTTTCTGCAGTGGCAGCTTCTCCTCAGCCTTATACTTGCTGCTCGGTGACCATTGGGATTCAAAGCTGCATCTCTTGTGAAGTTTCCTGTTGACACCATTTGCTTCACAGCTGCTCTTTCTGCTGGGAGCAAGGTGTGGTGGTGCAGAGGTGTCTCTGTGCTGGCTGTAAAGCAAACTGGTCCAAGTCATGCTGATTGCTGAACATGCTGCCTCTCTCAATACTCCTCACTGTCACTGCTCCATGCAAAGGTGCCAGCTGTATCCACTGCTTCTCTTTCACATGGGAAGTAAGAGCAGAAGGGATTTGCATCATAGCAGGAGGCTGATGGGCAGCACTTGGTGGTCCATGTTATGTAAGTCATGTGGGACAACCCTGATGCTTCCTTCTTATCCATAATCTCTGATCTCTTTTATCTCACTGTGAAGCCATCCCCATTAAAATATTTATCAGCTCATACTGATAAATACTGATACCATTAGTTTAATATTAACCCTGCATCTAAAGGCAAATTTATGAGAATATGGTAGTTTCTGACTTAAGTATCCTTGTTTCTGGGAAGGAGAAAATTGTATTTATTACTGTAATAAAGTGATGATGACTCCTCATGCCTACCCACCCACATACTCCCCCTATTGACAGGACCAGTTTGTGATGGATATGACAATATTTTCAAGCCAGTTCCTTGACTACCAGCTTTGTTAAATTTTGCCTGTGTTCACCATGTGTAGGCTATAAATATCATTAATGTACTTTTCAAATACTTTTTCTCCAGTTGATGAAAAGCAGTGGTGGAAAGTTGTTTATTTTTCTTCTTCTTTCAGAGTGAAGCAGAGGGCAGGTCTGTGGCAGGTACTTTACATTTTAATGCTGCACCTGATGCTCAGACTCTGTACAACGCCATGAAAGGGCTGGGTGAGTTGACTCCAACCACATATGTAAATTCTATATTCTTATAATTGCTAAGTTGAAATCAATTCCTTAGAAAATTTGCATCCAGAGATATCACCTCTTTTTTACTGTGAAAAACTAATTTTAAAGTTCCCTTGGTATGTGCTTAAACTTCTACACAGAGGCAGTGAACAAGACAAAGTTGTCTGAATATTCAGATTGGGATTTTGGACCAGTCTCAGCTTATTTTGTGCACTGTATTTATGATTTATTGTTGCTTTCCACAGGGACTGATGAACAAGCTATAATTGATGTCCTAACCAAGAGGAGCAATGTGCAGCGTCAAGAGATTGCCAAATCCTTCAAAGCACAGTTTGGAAAGGTTCTTCTAAAACAATGCCTTATTCAATCACTGGTTTACTGCATGCAGGATGTAGTAAATGGGCGTACACTTCTTTCTGAAAGCATGATGCAAACTATATGCAGGTCTTCTGCAAATAAGTAGGCTAATATCTAATTATAAGGCCTGTGATTAATGTGTAAAATTAATGTTTGGCCAGGAAAAAAATGTTTTTCTCCTAAAAATTCAATTTTTTAAAAATGCATTTTGACCAGAAATACTTTCTTAAAATCAGTCTTGATTTGAAGTGAAGCTTCTTATTGATTTGAAGCTGTAACAAAAATTGATAGCCATCTAAGTGACACGTTGAGTAAAATATTGGTTTGTTTCAGGCGTTTTTAAATGTCAAAAAAGTTCAATTTAAAGACTTATTTAATTACACTTGTTTAGAAATTCTGTGGTTATCGACAACTATGTTTTCCTTTGTTTCTCTTTGTTTCTTCTTTTTAAATCTTACTTTTATTGGGAAAATCTTTTCACCAGCAGACTGTATACCTTCAGCCTTACTATGAGCCTTGCTGGAAAGGGGAGTGCCATGCAAAAGCCTAAGAAAGGGAAGCAAATATGGGGGTGGTGGGTATGGAACAATGACTAAATAAAGCCCTTGGATCCCACTAAAACAGGAAGAGTCATTCAACAGAGAGAGGAAAACCTGCACTACAGTCAGAGGGAAATTTGAAGTGTATCTTCAAGCAGACTGCAGTCCTGATTCTGCAGATGTCCTGGGTGCAAGTTTAGATGCAGTTTTGGGAATTTCTCTGTAGCTACACCCTTGCTCAGTGCAAGGCCTTCAGCTACCTGGTTCTGCTCTGTGAGTTAAGCAGGGTGGAGCAAGATTTGCTGCAGGATTAATTATTGAGAAAGCCCAAATATCAAGAAAACAGGGAATGTGTGAGCACCTAGACAAACCCCATTTTGGAGTTAGGTGCCTTTTTCAGTCTCAGGACCTTTTTTAATCAACTATCAGCAATGCTGTCATTCAGCTTCATTACTTGGGACATGGGGATGGAAGCAGCATGTGCAGCAGAATGATCCTGTGGGTCTGTTTATGTAACCATGTGATGATGCACTTTTGGCAGGATCTGATTGAAAGCCTGAAGTCTGAATTGAGTGGCAACTTTGAGAGGCTCATTGTAGCTCTCATGTACCCCCCATTCAAGTATGATGCCAAGGAGCTGTATGATGCCATGAAGGTAAGCATGTTGCATGCTGATATTTAAGTAGTAGCACAAATACAGTGCTAATTTCTTGCACTTGTGCAAGTGTTAATAACTGGACTGTTGCATGGTTAAGTTTGTTATTAGCAATAGCCTTTGAGAAATACTTAATTGTACTATTAGTGTTCTGGGGGAAAATGCTGCTTAAATATTTATGGCTATATGAAAGTTTCTGTACATATGTGACTCATAGAGCCTGGGAAGGCAACAACAAAACTGAATTCACACCCAAACCTGCTCCCCTGATGCCCAGCTGAGCCATGAGACCTTCCAGGAATCAAGGAGTGGTGGTGCAAGGGCCAGGCTGGGTTCGGCTGGAATCCTACCTATTGATAATGTATCTTTACAAATTCCAGATGCAGAGTGGTCTGTTAAAATGGTATAAAAATGGACTGACTACTGAGCACTGGTCTCCCTGCATTCCCTTAATGCTGTCTATTGTCAAAGATCTGACTCCAGAAAAGCACTGAGGAAATGTAGGGTTATATAAAATCATCCTTTACAAATTAGGCACCTTGGTAAAAGAAACAATGTGCAACCCAAACGTGTTTTGTGCCTCCAGCTTTCATCACGATGGTTTCTTACAGCTCAGCACACAGCCTGACTTTGCTGCCATCCAACTCCTCCCTTCACCATGTTTCTCTAGCAGTAAATCATTTCCATGACTAGATGCCTGTCTCCACCTTTATTTCTCCACTGTGTTTTCTATTATAGGGCGTGGGAACAAGAGAAAGTGTTATCATAGAGATCCTGGCATCTCGGACAAAAGCACAGATCAAGGAGATAATCAAGGCGTACAAAGAAGGTAAGTGCCCGGGGCTCAGATTTCTGTGGTCAGAGCTCAACAGGCAGGCGTTGCCAGCTAGCACTGTCAGCAAGAAAATGGCTTTTCTGAAAGCATTTAACTCTTGAAGCAATAAACTCTGTTTTCAGCTGGCAAACAGAACATGGCTATGCTGAGAGAATTTGAAAATCCTTTCTAGGTCTTCATCCAGCTGCAGCCAAGGGCCAGCAAGTTACAAATTTGGTTCAGTTTGGGTACAGAGTACTGTCAGAACATAGACAAAACTGTAGCTGTGTACTTGACTATTGGCTCCATTAAATAGATGGAATTTATCAAATATATATTTGTAAATATTTAATCTTGTTCATCCCTTCAGCTATACCTCTAAAATTAGCTCTGGGTTTATTGCTTGGACATCAGGGGAGCTGGTGACTCAGCTGGATGCAAATGCTGACCTGGGCATCACACAGGGTGTGAGCCGCTCTCAGACCTGTTTTTTCCCTTGATGACCCTCTTGTCCAGTGTCAGGCTATGGTGTGGGCTTGGGTTACTGGTAATATTTTTACTGTATCACCTAAATAAATAACAAACCCTTTCCTTGTCCTTCTCTTTCCCTTGGGTAGCATACGGTTCTGATCTGGAGCAAGACATAAAATCAGAAACGAGCGGCTACTTGGAGCAGATTCTGGTTTGCCTTCTTCAGGTAATGTTGAGAAGAGAAACGAGGGTATAAAGGTCTTCATATTTCTCTCTTCTTTTCTGGAGAAGACATGCAATAGGAGAGCCAGTACAGTCATGATCACCAGATAAAGTGCAGAGACAAGCATGTCACTTGGACTGGATCTGTTTCAGCTGTGATGTGACTGAAGCAGGGAAATCTCTCTCCCTCAGCAGCAGTGAGAGAGCTGAGAACTCACAGCCAGCTCTCCTGTAGAGAGACACCTCACTTTCACATCTGTGTACAGCCACTGTACTCTGCAAGGGTCTTAAAAAACAGTGCCACTCCACTAGGATTCACCACTTTTCCAGGACCTGTGCCCTCAGTGCTGAGTGCATTTACCTTACCACATTTTTGGAATTTCCTGCCTGGTAGCAGAATAACTGAGCAATTTTTTACTCTGCTTCGTATGACTGATTTCAGTACCATTCAGTGAAGGAGTTAGCACTTGTGCTGTCTGAAATATTACTGCTTGAGTACTCTGCAGGAATAGATAACTGAGAGGATAATTATCTTTGATCAGAATGAATGCTCTGATCCTTATTTATGGAAGAATCTTCATGAGACATAATTGTTACCCTTCTTTTTCTGCTCATAGGGTGAGAGGGACAATGCCACCCTCTATGTGGACACAGCCCTGGCTCTTCAGGATGCAGAGGTACTCTCAAATACCTGAAATCCCTGATATGCCTGCATTCCCACCTTCTTGAACTTCAGAGTGCTTCAGTGTTAGCAGAGAGTTGGAGTCACAATAATTTGGGGTGGGGTTATCTTTAAGTAACTTGGAGTTTTTTCAATTTTGCCTGCACTGTTGAGCTCTGCCATTCCAAAGAGGGTGGATGAGGCCTGGGCTTTGGCTCATCTGCTTTTGATATGGCTGTGGTGGAGTGGAAGAGCAGAGAAAAGGGAGGAAACCTCAAGTGTATTGCTGGCTGTTCCAGCTGCTGCAGGAGGGGTAGAAAGGATGGAGACAGTGGATGTTCCATTTGTCTGGAAGACAGAAAGGTTTTCATAACCAGCCCTTCTAGGACACTCGGGTTCACATGGTGGTTTGGGTTACTCCAAACCCCCTTACCCCAGCCATGCCTTCAGCCAAACTCTGCTCCTTTAGCAGCTGCACACACAGAACAGCTCACTAATAGCTGTGTGCTAATTCCAGGCTCTCTATGCTGCTGGAGAGAAGATTCGGGGCACTGATGAGATCCAGTTCATCACCATCCTGTGCAAAAGGAGTGCCACACACCTAATGAAAGGTATGGAGCAGAGCCCACATTGCCGTCACTACACCCCCAAGCCTCCAAAATCACAAATTTCACCCTAGACAAGAAGAGGAGAGCCTATAGATGAGAGTCATGGGGGGTCAGAAATAAGTACCTGAGCTTGTTTTCTAATCCCTGGTCACCCAGTAACCAAAAGCTGCCAGCAGATTTTGTGAAAAGTTATGAAGATTTAATTCTGCTGAAAATCAAGTGGCTTTTCCAGGGGTCCCTAAACAGTGATGATAACTGGGTGGCTGTTTTTACAAATTCAAGAAGAGAGTGACTGAGTCCTGCCCTAATTAAGTAGGAGCATGTGCTGAACACACACATCCCCTTGGATGTGGGTTCCTCTGGGGGGAAAAATATCACTGAAGAAGTAGCTGGTTACTCGGTGCTGGAGAATCACAGGGTGCAGCCTGCATTTCTGCCCCAAGTCCTTTTGAGGGCATCGGAGGCTGCTGGCAGGGAGGACACAAGCCCTGCTCCAGCTGAGACCTCAGCTCCACACTGTCCATGCAGCAGAGACCAAACCGTGTCTTCTCAATGCTTTTCAGGCATAACAGATTTTGTTATGTTGGCTGAATCTAAACATATCAAGTACTGTGTGAATCAGGTGGACCTAAAACTGATAAATTTAGCCGAAGATAAACTCGATATGCCTGAGCTTTTTCTAAGCTGAGGTCTCTTCAGCTGTTTCTATGCCCTGGAAGCCAGCTCCCCCTTGTGTTTCAAATTCAATCTCTCAAGGTCACTTAAAAAATAAACAAAAATAGGTGGCCTCTCTAGTATTTGTCTGTATCTGTCTTTAAGAATTGAATTTAATCTTGTTGTGATAATGCAACCAGTCTTTTGAACCTACTGTGGCACTAAGCAATTTCTTCTGTACCTATTTGTCATTAAGATCTCAGTGTAATTATTGCAGTTTTTAAAATTTGTTTTTAATAGAAAGAGTAGTTTGAGTTGAGAAGTTTGTATCCATCTGTCTATTCTGTATTCCATTTCCCCAAAGTGTCTTGAATGTTGATGATATCAAGTGCTGAGCAAAGTTTCTTTAAGATGTCTATTGCATTACACAGCAGTTTTCCTTCTTTGTTAGTCCTAGAAAGCTAGGAGTAAAAACAGATATCAGTGTTTCTGAGCCTTGGAGTATCTAAAGCAAGTATAAGGCAAGCAATGACCCTGTTGCTGAGTGTTTGTTACTGTAGGAACTCAAATATCTTGGAATCTGCGCCTGTATTTTACTCATCTTTTCTCAGTTGTTTTTATTTTAAATTGTGGTTGAAATAATAAGTTTCCCCAAATGGTTTTGTCATAATTTTAAAGTCCATTGGCTGTGAACTGCACAGGGAATTAAGAATCATGAATGCTTTGGCTTTTTGTGAATGTTAACATCCATCTTTGTGGCTGATTACTGATGTTGACTAAAACCTCCTGAAGCTGGTGCAAATGTGGCCATTGCTTTTGCAGGATCTGTGTGTTTATATTGCCACACAAGTAATGCCTGTAAATATTATACACAAGAGGCCTTGAGGGTTGCTTGGTAAAATGTATAAGTTCTTTGTGTTTCAAACAGTGTTTGAAGAATACCAGAAGCTGGCTGGTAAGAGCATAGAAGACTCTATCAAGAGTGAAACTCGTGGTTCACTTGAGGATGCCATGCTCGCTATTGGTAAGTGGTGACCTTTCCCTTTGCTCTGTCAGAGTCTGCTGCCTTATATTCTGCAGTAGTTGACTTATATTAGATGGATCTGCTTTATAAAGGTGTCTGGTATGAAGTAAGGGGTACCTCCTGGACGAGATAAACTCAGATTCCAGGAGCACAGTGAATTCATGGGAAGTATGAAGGATCTCAGTCACCTCCTGCCCTGGGCTGGAAATACCATTGATTCTTACTGAGCTTTTTTGTATGCCTAGTGAAATGCACCAGGAACATCCGTTGCTACTTTGCAGAGAGGCTGTACAATGCTTTAAAGGTAAGACTCTCCATTGCAACACACTGGTTTTTCATACAGACTTAACTTGTAACTTGACTTCCACCTATTCAAACTAGAAGAGCCAAGGTTTTGGTGAAATTCAGCAAGTTTAGTGCAATTGTTGCAAGATATTCTGCGAGTAATAGCAGAATCCTTTCAAACACCTTGAGTAGAACAGTACCCTTTAAACTCAAGATAATAAGGGAGTCTGGCTTTTCTGGCTTAAGAGTCTGCAGGGAGCCCAGCCCCACTTTCTGGAACACAGACAAAAGAGTCTTCTCTGGGAGGTTGTTTATGGTGAAGACTTGCCTTCCATTTAAATAAACTGGAACACAGTATCTTCTTTTTAGGAAGCAATTCTCTCAATGGCAGTATAAAATGAGATTTTCAAATGGGGACACATAAGGTATTTGCAGACTGTGTCCCTGTAATACTTAACTGGTATGTACAAGACGTCAGCTCTCCAAACCTTTTGGAAAGCTGAGATTACAGTTTTGTTATCCATGTAATTTTAATTTTCCTGTGAGTGATTAAACAATAAAACCAAATCAGTGGGTGATTCTGCAGAGGGACAGTCTGTATTCAGTGCCAGCTCCCACCTCTGTAGCATGTTTGCTTTTGCATTTGACATGTGCAAAACTTGTGCACACCTCCATGGTGGGTTTGTGGTGCTGGCAGTGGCCCTTGGGGGGGGTGAAGGGGTGGGCCCTCCAGAAAGAGATGCAGATGTTCCACAGGAGAGGTGCCAAGGGGTGTTTGAAAGCTGACTCCTCCTGCCCTGGACTAGTTTGCACGGTTTATCCCTTGAACAGCCCGTAGCATCACAGACTGCTGTATCTGTTCTTCCAGGGGGCTGGCACCGATGATGGGACTCTGATAAGGGTGCTTGTTTCTCGAAGTGAAGTTGACCTAAATCTTATCAAGCCTGAATTCCAGCGCATTGCAGGAAAGCCTCTCTCCACTATGATTTCGGTAAGCAGAATCTTGGTATGATGTTCTCAGCCATTGCATGTATTGCTAACCTTTCCATCACTGTGGGATGCTTCCATGGTTGTTTGCAGTAACAATTTCATTTCTGCTATGGTTATGTCTCTCCTTCACAAGGCCTGTTAAAAGCCATGTCCTTGAGAGACACCTGTGTCTGAAAGGTGAGTCAGACTGTATGCTCTCTGTAAGGACTTGGACAAAGCAAACCCAAGGAGACACTGCACTAGGATTTTCATGGACCAGTCTCTGTATCCATGCACTGCATGACATTCTAGATGAATCTAAATTAAATTAATCATTTCGTTATACCTATCCCACACTGCTGTGTCATTTTCTCCTCTCTCTCTCTGCCATCCTTAACTATCTCAAGCCAGTGCCATTCATATGTGTCAAAATAATGCTGGGGTATTTTGTTCTTTTTCCTGTTGTCTGAGGTTTTTTTGCTGCCTTAATCCAGGTGAAAGCCTGGTCTACACTGTGATGAGATAGGTTCAGAAACTGAACCTTGTCAACGCTTATTGTAGCATTTGAGTTTCAGCTCTGAGTGAATGTGCCTCCCCTGTTAGTGCTGAAATGCTGTTTTTACCATTTGTCCCAAGGACTTTGGGGCATTCCTTTGCCCCTGTGCAAATGGCACAAAAGCCCTGTCCTCAGCAGTCCCTATGGGAAGTCTGGGTCTGTAATGAAGGGCCCTTCTTATAATTGACACTGTCAGTGTCTGTCATGTTGATTAATGATCAGCCTTCAAGGGTCTGTACAGAGTATTCATTCCTTCTGAGAAGTGGAACTAGATTTACACCTGTCACCACAAAACATTCAAAGGGAGAAAATTTTCTTTACCTAGTGAATATTTTGTATAGTTCTTCTAGACCAAAATGACCACATTTGTGGCTTTTTTAAAAATGCCATGTATCAGGGCTAACTATATAACAGCCTTTTCCCTTCCTGTAGGGAAGAGGTGCTACATAAACACCCAGGGACAAAAAATCTGAACACAACATATTTGCTTGCTGTCATTTGTGCTGACTTTGTGCTGCTCTGTGGGACAGAACCTTGATCAATTGCTCACCTGCATTCCAAAGGAAAAATTTGGCTTGATGAATGTTATTTCAGGTGGTAGCTACAAGCCCCATTTCTCTGTTCACTTTTGATGGTGTGTCAGCTGGCAGCAACTCTGCTGAGGTCTGCCTTGCTCTTTCCAAAGTCCTTTTCCTGTGTGGGCACATTCCACAGACTGACACTGTCAGCACTTGGAGCATGCAGAGGAACTTCCCTACTCACCTACATTTTAATGTTCTCTCCTGTCAGGAGGATACCAGCGGCGATTACAAGACAGCCTTGATGAATCTCTGTGGCAGTGACTGACAGACTCTAGGAGGAAGATGCTGAAAAGGATACAGAGAGAAGATTAACAGTGAACAAGGCTCTGAAAATGTACTTGTAGAAAATCTTTCCATTGATCCAAGTGGGGGTGAAAAGAAGATCAAATTAATGGCTGAGATTTCCAAAGCTCTCTGAGGGATGTGGATGCCCATTACACACTGAATGTTATCCACTTCCCAAGCACAGGGGGGAATGTTAATTTCTTGTTTCCATTTTCTTCTTTGAAGTTTTCCTTGTATTTTAACCCATGGTGAAGGATGGCACTTGACATGGAATTAAAGGTTCTTTTAAATCCTCTATAGCTCTTTCACAAGCCTGAACAACCCTACAAAGCTTGGGATGCCCTGAAGCCATGCTGATTTCACCAGGACCAGCTGGTAGAGCAGGGCTCTTGGATGCTTGAAGGATGGATCTGGAAGAAGTCCCAGATATTAATGAGGATTTAGGACACGGGTCAAAACAGAGAACTTAGTGCCAGAGGCAGTAGTTTAGCGGCCTTATCTAGATAACTTCACAGGGAGCTCCCCAAGGAGCAGGGAATGGCAGAGCCAAGTTGGCTGCTGCAAGCATGTGAAAGTTGAAGGCTGTGTGCCTAATTTCCTTCTTGCTTGTCTGTTGGGGAAGAGCAGCAAGTTCAGGTCCCCACGTCAATGTCAGACCAATCAAAACTGGCGTGGATGATTTGGTTTTGGTGCATACAGGGTACCCTGCCCATGGGAGCAGACCTGTTTCTGCTTCTAGTGTCACAGCAGCTTCTCAGCAGTCAGTGGACTCCCTCCAAAATTGCGTCCAACCCCCATGACTGCACCACCAGGGGCCTGAGTGAAGCCCCAGATGTGGACAGTGATGCAGAGAGAACAGTCTGAGAAGTTCGGGTCTGCCTTGACCACTGGTTCTCCACGCCTTAAACGAATCCTTTATATGTGTAGTTACAAAAAGGCTTTCAGTAAATGTTCTCAGTAAAGGAGCTTTTCTAATCCAGTGGGTGAACTTTTTGGCTGAGGAGTGCTCCCTCCCTCGCACTGCTGAGATTATCAGGAGTCAGTGCCATGCGATTGGAAGTTCAAAAGGTCTTGGTGAGTCCAGGTCACAGACTAGAGTCCTGGGTCAGGGTATCAACACACCTCAAGTGGACACAGAGAGGAGGAGGTTTCAGTCCTCGCCCCTTTAAGTGATTGTCTTTTCAGTGATACCCCGGTTTCTTGCCTGGTCTCTGGCTGAGCATCAAGGTGAGGGCTTCTTCTCCCAGTTTTTGAGGTACATGGGCCAGCTGTGGGCACCAAGGGACGGGGACTCGCATGTCCCTTCTGCTGTTCCCACTTGGTTTTTTGCAGTCGCTTGTTCTAATTGACAGCGATGATGGGGTGTCAGTTTGGGGGTTTCGCTTTGGTTTGGGGTTTTTGAGCCTGTTGGGGCTTGCGAGTGTCGGCGGGAGCTGCGGCCGCGGTGAAAGCCGCGCTTACACCCCCATCTGCTGGGGACCGCCTGCGCAAACCCCGCGGCGGCACCACCGGGCTCCCTGGCATCCCGGGGTACTCCGGGGTTTCCCAAGTATCCCGGGGCAGCCCGGGCATCCCGGGGCGCCCTGGGCATCCCGGGACTTTCCGAGCATCCCAGGGCACTCCGAGCATTCCAGGGTACTCCGAGCATCCCAGGGCACCCCGAGCATCCCGGGAACGGCCTCCGGGGAGCCAGGAGGAGCGGGCGGGATTTGCCCCTGTCCCGTTCTGCAGAGCCGGACCCGCAGGGCTGCGGTCCCTGTCCCTTGCAGCCACTCCGGGGCTCTCAGCGGGCAGCCCTCGGCACGGGCTCTGCAGCGAGGCACTGCTCCGGCCAGAGCCGTGCCAGGAGGTTTTACTGAAGGCATGACCCATTCTGGTGTGTTTGGGGTATTAACTTGGAAAGCCCAGATGGGACCTTGTGCCTGCCTGAGCAGGAAACAGGAGTGACTTTCCCTGCGGCACCCACAACATCTCTGTTTCCTGGAGCTGGACAGGCAGCAAGTGAAAAGCAATCCCAGCTTTGAGGGACCTAAACTCTGACTAGGAAAGCCTAATGAAAGCTCAGCTCTTGAAGCGTGTTTTAGTTCAGAGTTGTGTGATGATTTCACTCAAACGTTTGTGTTTATATTGCCCCAGAGCTCCCGTTGTTGTTAGTGTTAGCACGCTACTCAGGTCAGAGGTTGGCTTTTCTTCTTGGCCTGTGCTTAGCACAGTGGGTGTGGATTAGAGCTGTTTCACTGTGATTGTGATCCCAATTTATTAATAACAGCCTGGGAGATGTAAAGTGAGTTGCCAGAATGCTCACAGGAGATCAGTAGTAAAGCTGGAAAGAGGAACAAGCAGGGGAAGCTGATTCTATCACTGTAATTGCTGGGAAACAAAACAATTGTAAAACATCAATGAAGATTTAATTACATATTGATTGCTGCTAAAATGTTCCCCGGGTGAACAGGTGCTTTAATAAATCAGGATCAATTCCTAAGCTGTTCTAACCAGTCTTTTCTAAGTGCAAATATTGACTTAGGGCCTTTCTATTCATTCACCGTTTTATTAACATGATTTTATTGCACAAAAACCAAGATAAAAGCTTGGCAAGGAAAAAGTAACAGGGGCAATGTAAAAAATGCTCAGGACTGGTGCAGGCTTTCTGCTGCCTGTTTTCAGCCTTTTTCTTCCTCCTGTGCTCCAGAAAGACCCATGTGCAGGGAGTCTCCAGGGACAGCACTAATGCCACTTTGCTGTGCTCTCCTGTGTACTCAGACAGGGGGACAGCACACAGCACACAGCAGGACTGTGCTGCAGCCTCGGGGTGTGGGTACATAGCTCAGCTCACACCCAGGTGTGCCTAGGGATGGCTGTCTCCAACTGTTAGCTCTGCTCCTGAGACCTGGAAAACTAACAGGAGTCTGTTCCAGACAGGATGCTAAAGCACATACTTCGTGTTTAACCCCTGAGAGTTTCTGTTCCAGAGAAAACTGACCTGATTTAGTCTTACTCAATTCTCCCAGAAACCCAGAGCGGATGTGACCTGAAGCCCCGGAGGCCAGCACAGGCAAGCAAAGGCCCTGCTTCTTAATAGGTGTGTCATCACTGTGACTTCCGGAGAGAAGATTGGATTGGTTTGGCTTCACTTGTATTTCTATTTTGCAACAGTTTGGAGTAATTTTTGGATTAAAAATGTTTAAGTGTTCAAACTGGGGTTAAATGAACATTGTTCCTGTCAGGAAGTGGAAGATGAGAATAGCAGATACCTTAGTCAGGCAGAGTGGGAGATCTCTTTACCATCTCCTCATGTTAAGGAAAGTGTTTCAAGGGCAGGAAATAATCTGAGAGGGATGTTCAGTCTTCCTTTTTCCCTGCGGTTTGCTCAGCAGCACACAGAGGGAGCCCTGGCTGCTGGGAGGGGCTGGGGCTGGGCCAGAGCCTTGCCTGAGGCACCGGGGCTGACTCTGGGGCATCTTCAGCCTGCCATGCCCTGCCAGCCCTTCTCTGGGAGCTGACAGTGGGGTGGCCGAAACCCAGCACAGTGTGAGGCCCGGGAAGGGAAGGTGAGCTGTGACAGCAGGGATGGCTATCAAACCATGGCTATGGTTTGTTCTGGGGTGGGCTGAAGGGAGGCTCAAGGGCAGAGCACCCTCACTGCTGGGCAGATGGGAGCCCTCCTGAATGGAAACTGCTGGTTAATTTTTATTCTTAAATTAATAAATTAATGACAAATGAGTGTTGATGTATTAATGTAAAATGCAGTTTTTAAATACTGCTTGCCACAGATATCCAGATGGGATAATGAAGTGTCCTGGTGTCATGGCTCATTGGCTGGCTATCCTGAAGCGGCCTGGTGGCCATCTGATCATAAAATATACACCTTCCTCAGGGATTACTGTGTGGAATCTCCTTTGCTGGGAAGATAGCAATCTGTAAGATGCTAAGATGGGAGTATGCCAAAGACCTGTCAGTCTTTCCTTCATCTTCTGCCCTGAGCCCAAATGCCTGAGCTGACTCCAAAGACTCTTCACTTGTTTAGTGTCTGGGGTCAGTAACTGCAGAACATCCTCATGCCTGGGATGCTGCAGCACCAAGAGATGTTTTGTTTGACACAGTGCAGCAAGCTCTTCTCCTCAGACCACATGCAAACAAGGTCACTCCAATTCCCATCTCTCTCCTCATTGCAAACATTACTGGCCTTGCAAGTAATTATTGTTCAGTCTTCTGGTGAACCCAAAGAACTCATCTCTGACATTCCAAGAAATTGCCAGTAGTTTTTGTTGTTCACTAAAAACTTTATGTTAGGCTGCAGAAAAGAATTAATAATTTGGGGTTTGTATCCGACTATCCTTTGAGAAGACAGAAGGAGCCAATCCTGAGGACCTGGGCTCTGTTTGGAAGTATTGCTTGTTCAAGCTGTGTTTCTGTTTCCCCAACATTTCCTGTTGCAAATCTCAGTCAGCCATGGTGTGTTGGTTCATGCCTTGGACTTGTTGGAGGCTCAGAGTTGGCATTTCTGACTGAAAGGTATGTGCCCAGCAATTAAGAGTGTCACTGTATGGGAGTTCAAAGTTCACAGGGACTTCATCCCATATACTTTGCATTCTCCCAATTGCAAAGAAATACTTATGGTGATAATTTTCTGTGATATAGAAGTCATATGATGCATCCAAGTATAGTCCTGAGAAACCTTTTCTGCATTTCTGGCTAGATAAAAGTACTATTACAAAAGAAACACAGATGTCTGTAGGTTCTGTACATGCAGGAACTTAACATTTGGAGAAATAAATAGCTCTGGATCACACAGAGGAACCAGTTCTGTTCTTTCTGTGGTAATGAAGAACAGGATATGTTGTAGGCACAATATTATTAATAAATAGTGAGCAATGCAATATGAATCCGTAATTCAATTTAGGATTTCAGCTGAAAATGCTCTTTGGAATTATAGATGGCAGTGAGCTCTCAAATTGAATTACAGTGCAAACAGGAACTGAGTCATGTGTAGCAATGGTCTAGGGAAGCATAGAATAACTGGGCAAAATATTATTGGCAGTACTATATTCACAGAAAAGAAAAGCATTTGGTGGACCTAAATGAAATTTAACTGATCTTATAAATTGATGTCAGGCAGAAAAACAGGGGGAAATGAAAGTCAACATTTACATCTATTGATTTTAAAATGGCAACTTTATTTTTAAAGCTGATTCAAGCTGAAAAACAATTATTGAAAGGTTTCATTAATCTGAAGCTTAAACATGACATTTTGGAGGGGAAAATTTTAATATTCAGTTTGCCTGAGAACACAATTTT